CAGAGAGAGCCCCAGACTTCTCTGCCTGGAGAAACAGTGGTTCAGCCTCTTTTCAATATCTAAATCCTCCTTCCTATCCCAACTTATCAAGTTTCACAGTTTACTTCCTGCTTAGAAGGTTCCCAAATCAACTATTTTTAACTTCATTAACAAGCATCTTCCCTACCCCCAATACACATTACTCTTTTCCCCAAGGAGAAAGCCAAGACAGTAAGAACAGTAAGGAGAATGGATAACTTCTAGGCTGGGCTCTAACCTGATCTCCTCATCAACTTTAAGAGCAGAGAGGCTGGGAAAGGAGACAGAGCTGAGGAATCTGGTCAAGTCTTTGGGGGGCAAAGTTTGAAGGAGACCAAGTTCTGCTTTTCTCTTCCAAACTTCATCATGCTTCCCAACCTTTCCTTGAGGTAGGAGAGGAGGTAAAGGGGGGAGAAAGTTCTAAGGTGGATCCCTTTTGAAGAGATGTAAGCCCCCACTTCTCCCAAGCCACGTTCTGAGCTACATCTCCTAGAATCAACTCAGTTTTGCATGCCTGGTCCTCAGATCAGGGTCCTGTTCAGTGCTAACTGGCCTAGGGATCACCAGTGCACAGCCTGAGGGAAGAGTCAGGTAAGAGAATAATTAACTCAAGTACAGGGGGTGGAGAAAGAAGGGAAAGTAATGCCCAGATAGGCAAATCCTTTTATCCTCCTGAGGCTGAACTAGGCACCGAACTTCGAACTTCAGTACCAAACTGCTCCCAGGGGAGGAATTCAGAGGTGCCGCTTCCCCAGCCCTGTGCTGGGCCTGGGCCACAGCTGGCAAGGGATGGGGGCTCCAGCTGCAGTGTCTGCTAGATTCTGGAGCCCCAGCCACTCTATGGTGCCAGAGCAGCAGGGAGGAGCCCTGGGAAGGAACCATCCTGGCCAACAGCTGTTCTTCCTCCCTTCTCCATCCTGGCTGAATGGAGGAAAGAGGTATCACAGGCGTGAGCTGACAAGCTCTGGCTGGGCTGTTAAGGGTGAAGAGGCCCACCCTGGCAGCAAACCCCTTGGACTGTCCCTCCTACCCTGGATGGGAAAAGAGTGGGTTTCTGCCCAGAGGGGAGGACATGCTGAATTAGAAAGTCAGTGTGGGGTCCTCAGAGATGCCTAAACCAGAGTAGACATGGAAAGCCAGCAGCTGGATAGCTCAGGAATATGGAAGGGCAGTTAGGAGGAAAGGAGAGGGACAAGATCTGGACACTAGAACTACTCACAGCTGCACAAGGAGGGAGAGTGTAAAGGAGTGGGAGGTAAGGGGAAAAAGGCAGGACCTCAAGTCTACCCCAGGAAGGCTGACAAGAACCTGACTCTACCCTCCAAGTTACTAAGAGCTGGAGGAATAGGAAATAGCGACACCCCTGTTACCCTCAAATTACCAAATTCAAGCCCAGCTTCAGAATAAGTCACGGGCCTATGCTGTTCTCTCATGCCTCAGCCCCAATCTTAATACCAGGGGAAGAGGAAAAGCCACACTGAGGACCATGGAGGACGAAGGGTGAGTCAATTTCCCAGACCAAGCTGAAAGGGACCACAGAAGGAAGGAGTGGGAATGTGCTCCAGAGTGAGGGGATAACAGGAGCAGGAAGAAGGAGGGGAGATGGGAAGGCAGTATGGGTCTGATTACAGTGTCCCCCATGGGGCAGCCCCCCTGCCCCCAGTGGAGAAAGCTAGAGATACACAAACAGGAAGCCACAAGGCCTGGGCGGGAGGAGGGTGTGCTGGGGTGGAGTAGGAAGGGGGGGCAAGAGGAGGTCAGGCGGGGGCTGTTGCTATGGGTTTTGTATACTAAACATAGTACAAGGGGCTAGGTAGGGGCGCCAGGCAGGGCACAAAGACAATTCTTCCCAGACAGAGAAAGAGTAACAAGGCTCTGAGAACAGTCTGGAAGAGGTGGCAACACCACCTTGGGAAGCATTTATTAGCTCGGGTCACCTTAGAACAAGCAGGGTCCCCAGGCCAGTCAGCTGTGGGAAAGAATACTAGGACTCAGGTTCTTCTGGGAGTGGGAGCTAGTTCAGGGCTAGTAGCAATATGTACAAAAGAAAATTCCCAGAGGAATAAATGAGGTCAGGATTTAGCCCTGAGGGAACAGGAAGGCAGAGGCAGGATGGGAGCAAGGGGGAAGGAAGACAAAGAGGACTTGTAGGTTCTGGGGTCCAGAGGGCCCTCCAGGTTTTGCTCCACCCCAACATCTCCACCCCCTTCCCATTCATCAGAAGACAGGAATGGGAAACTAGGCTGTGCGTACAATGGAGTTGGGAGGGAAAATCCATAATGCTCCTCCTACATACAAATCCTACACACACCACTACCGTTTCCAGCTAGGAACCAGTAAATCAAAGAATCAAGATGCGTTTATGTGTTGTGTACCTGTTGTGTGACAGGCAATGCACGGTGCACCCCTAGTCCAATTTCTGGATGGGTACTTCTCCAGATAGGGAGTACGAATAGGGAGAAGGGAACTATTTCAGACTCTCAGACTAAGATACTCACATCCAGCTTCATTCCAACCCCAATCCCAAATCTAAATCAGTGGCCCCTAGCCAAAGGATCTGTTGTTAGCCTCCGTACTCTTCCATTCCCATCTCTATTGGCGGAGTGCTAATCTCGATATTGCCTAGTACGTCCGGCCCCTAGCCTTCCCTAATCCTTACCTTCTCCTCCCCCCCCCCCAACCACACCCTGGCCGTTACTGAGAGATGACTCACCCGCCGCCAGGGTGACGCAGTGGTCTGGGCAGCCAGCCCGCTCAACAGATACGGCCAGAGGCTTTCCCAGCAGCAGGGGGCACGGGGGGTGGGAAAGGGTCAGACCCCCTCCCCCCCAATCCAAGGCCACGGGAGCCAGACAAGTCAGGCTGCAGCCGGGGCTCCTCAGTTTGGAAGGAACACCCCCCCCCCCGCATTCCCCAATAACACTGGAGGGATGGGATCAAAGTGCTGGCCCTGCTCTTAATACGAAGAAACAATAAGGTTACTGAGGCAACCCAGGTACTAACCTAATCCTAACCCAGTGCCTCTGGGGAACGGAGCCCAGGCACTGGGACGTTCCTGTTGGGAGGCCCGAAATCAGGCAGTGCCAGGCTCCAGAGAAAAGTTGGCAAGAAGAAAGTCAGCCAAGAGTTTGGAGAACGGAGGACAGCACTCCACACGTGTGCCACGAATATAAAAGTGAGAAATGCATCAGGAGAAAACCTAAGTGCCTGAGGTCAAGGAAAGCCCCAGGGGGCAGTCTCAACGAGGGCATTAATAGGCAGGCTAGGGCGAGTCACCAGTACTTACACCGGATCCCTTCCCGTACCAGCCCCTCACCTTTCCCCTACTCTCTTCTCAAAGTCGCGGCCAGAGCTTCGCCCAGGTCTCTCCTGTTGCCCGGGGAGGGGGGCACGGACCCCAAGTTCCCAGGACCGGCGAAGCCCAAGCGCAGTGCACAGGGCAAGGGCCGCCGCCCCTGCCCCACCTGCATCTAGCCTAGCGCAGAGTCAATCCAGGAGACGGGCGGGGCGGCACGGGGCACGGAGCGGACCCTGAGCCCTGCTCTCAGTGACCCACGGAGCAGCCACCCGAGGCTGCCCATGCTGCCCAGTTCTGCCCTCCCTCCTCCCTGCCCTCCGCGCTCACCTTTACCACAAGGCAGTGGATGGAGAGCTGAGCGGGCTGGGGCGCGGCGCGCAGTGAGTGGCACTGGGCTTCCCGAGGCGGGGGTTTTCAGGCAGATCCCGCCTCGGCCAAGGGGCGGGCCTGGGGCGGGACGATGGGCGAGGATTTAAAGGCACAGGGCAGAGAACGCAGGGGGAGCTATGGGGAGTTGTAGGGCTCCTGGGAGGTACCCGCTTCAGATTCCGTTAGCATCCCCAAAGATTTGAGGATAACTGGGAAGCTTCGGAGTTGAGTGCTTAAATACTGGATATGACAAGTCCTGCCACCCCTTATGCATTCATATCGATAAGTAGAATAGATGGGGAAACTGAGGCACACTGCAAGACAACTCTCTCTTCCTCTTCTCTCTCCATTATGCCCAATGGGAATAGAAATAAGGTCTGATTGGGAAGAGGATCATAAAATCATGGACTTTGAAATGGTAAGGAACCTTAGAAATCTAGTCCAGACAACAGAGGAGGTCATTGAAATCAGAGAAGTGAATTGCTCAAGGTAATGGCAGTCAAGACTGAAGTCCAGGGCCTTTGATTTCAAAGTTAGTGTGAACCCTTCTGCAAAAGGCTTTTTTCCCCATTCCCCTTAATATTAGTGCCTTCCTTCCAAGGTTCTCTCCAATTTATCCTGTATATATCTTGTTTGCACATGGTTATCTTGATGTAATCTCTCCTATTATTAGACTGTGAGCTCCTTGAAGACAGGGGCTGTTTTTGCCTTTGTACTCCAAGCCTTTTAGCACAATGTCCGGTACTTGCTAAGTGCTTAATAAATGCTTGTTGATTTTATTTCTGCATTACCCCAACTCCTGGCTCTTCAGGCCAAGGAGGCAATCCTATTCTGTTTGCTTGGCCTGCCCTGCCCTGCCACCTTCTTCAAGCCTGGACAGGTGGTACAGAGTGAGGTCACTCTCTCCTCCCTGGGGCCCCAGAGGCAAGGGTAGGGTTGGCTTCTGGGAGCTCAGGGCTGACTCTCCTCTCTCACTTTCCATCACTACTTTTTTTCATCTCAGTTCTTACTCCTTAGCACATTTGCAGGATGGAGGAAGGTGGGTTGTGGCAAGGAAGTCTCCTCAGAGGGGACTTGGAAGGGCCTCAGCCTTCTTAGGGCTGGAGCTGAAAGTGAAAGAGACAGCAGTTGCTGGGACATAAGTTCCTTCAGGGATCACCCTGCCAGCGAAGCTTTGGTTCTGGCCCCTTGCCGGAGAGGAACTCTTGTTCCACCTTGGGGGATTCCCATCCCTGCCATTCATGATCCTATACCCTTCCCCACCTCTCCTTCAGCTTCAAAGCCAGGCACAACACACAAGTAAAGTATTCTCAGTCTCTCTTTAATTGCCTGTAAAAACTTTCCCCATGCCTCACTCACACAGAAGGGGCAAGGGCAGACCCTGAGATCTCTGTACCTATCTCCTCCCTCTCTGCCCTGGAGGAAGGAGAGGCCCTTCTGGGGAAACCCAATTCAACCTAAGGGAGATAGTGTCACCCACATCTTTCCCCCCACCCAGCCAGTGTCTGTGCCTAGGAACCAGCTGGGGGGGTATTATCAATGCCCCCAGTACCCCTGCAGGTGGCCCTGCTCAGCCCTGCCCATAAGTCCTTGTCCCCTCACCACTGAGCATTCATAGCAATGTGGCTTGCTCAGGGTGACTGATGCGGTCTCGGTAAGCAGGCAGTCGTTCCCGGGTAGCATCACGGCGACGTTGGAAGGCCAAGAATTCCTCACGAAGGGCAGCACAGCGTTCCTCTGGCCCAGGAGGGTGGCCAGCGCCCCATGTGCACTCCTCTGGTCCCTTGGAGTCTTTGAGAGCATGAAGCAGAGGAGTGAGAGATGGAAGGGTTTTTAAGCAACAGATTTAGAGGACATAAAAGCTTCAGGGGACAAGCTGAGGGAGGGACATGGAAGAGAGAGTGAGTGCCTAAGCCAGTCTCCCTTGTGAGAGTAAGACAGAGAATATCCTATTATCCCAAAACAGAGAGACTAGGGGTCCAACTGCAAACTAAACTTTGGCTGAGAGTAGAGAACAAGCATGCCCCAAGCTGAATCCAGGGCTGAAGAGGCAGGAAGAGAAAGTCATGGAGCAGACGGATGCCCAGGAGCCTGAGCTGGGAAGGATGAAGAGGCTGGGACCTGATCCTCTGCCCTGGCATCTCACACACCTAGTTTCAGTTCAGGCTGGCCCCGGGGGCCACCACCTCTCTGCCCCAGCTGCAGTGATTCGACCAGTTCCAAGTCCCCTGGAAGCTCAGAGTCCCACTCATAGTTTTCATCCACTGAAGTGTTCCTCCTGTAGGCATATGATTGTGTACGTGTTGGTTATGGAATAGAAAAGTTCAGGACAGTATGTGCCCCCTCACCTGGAAATGGCTATGGAAGGTGCCCTCCACCTCAGAGGAATGCCCACAATCGGGGGTTAACCACTACTTCAGAGAAACCTAAGAAGGGGTAAATCAGGTTTCTGGTAAAAGGAAGGAATAGTGAGGACAAAGAGAAAAGGGAGGGCAACAGAAAAAGGAGAGGGGATCAGGGATGGGACCCTGGGTTGGGAGAGACCATCCTCACCTCTTACTGACAGTCAGCACATGTTCTCTCCGAGGCCACCTTTCCAGACCAATTCCTCCACTGGCCCAACTGCTAGTGTCCCCTGAGGGGGGACTGAGGTAGCTGCCCCCAAGAG